ACTCAAAACCCAACAATCAAAACTTGCCTATCTGATCTCTCTCCCTCTGTCTTCTTCCTTTATAAAACCCTTCAGTTTCCCATTTTTTCCTATCTTTGGTACTCTCATCTCTGACCCTGACCCTGAGTACTTCTCTTGATCACAAATGTTATGACCTTGAATGATATCCTTTCAGTACACCTTTCACATTTCCTTTCACAGCAAACTGTGATATTTCCAAACCAACATAATGCTGAATCCCAGTTCATTCATTATAAACTTTTATTTCACAGGATTATTTCCTTTTTTCTTAAGCATGTCCTCCATAATTCATTTTATCAGGAAAAAATCTATCCTGCATTCTTGCAAATATTCCCATTTCTCATTAAAAATCTATTTTGTGGCCTTATAAGCTTTAGAGGAATATCTATTTCCCTGTATTCGTGCACATGGAATCCACTTGCTTTATTTCATGCTCTTAATTTTCTGTTTTTATCCAGCAATCTTTGTTTATACCTGCAAAGCAAACCTCTCAGGTAAATGTTGATATTAACATTTTCCATTTTGAATCCGTGACCTGATTCTTCCAATCATTTTGTACTCAATTTTCAAACTCTGAAGACCAAAACTATTTTACATTAGCATCCAATGTAAACATGTGGTTTTGTATAGACTTTAATTTTTACCTATAATGGTAATGGAATTTAAACATTTGCTGAACCATGAATATCTGCATTTTCCAAACCAAAGATACCCCAAAAGTTACCAAAATACACACAAAAGAAGGAACACTAAGATATAGAGGTACAGTAAAGTGTATATGCAGTACCTGACCACTGCCCGAGCCTGATGAACTCTTGTTAGTTCATACTGGCCATTTGCAGTGCGAGAATATGTGAGGCCACCAATGTGAACTCTTGAGAGGGCAGGCTGAGTTCCTCCAGAACTTGTGGTATCTGTTACTCTCTTCAGGGTTCGTCCCCCAGCGCCAACTTGGAACTTGTGACCACGGAGATGAACAACACACATGGAATCTGAAGAGGAAAAAATAACTGTCTGTAATAACCAGTTCAAAATTACTTTTAGTAAAATCTAAATCTAATAAAGAGCATACTATTTGATAATCCTGAAGGCTGTGCGAGTCTCCTTCTACCTCTGAAAAGACTACAAGTAAAAGATGTAAAAAAACTTACCTGTTGCTTTTTTCTCATTCTCTAATTTTTTGGCCAGCTGCTTCCTTAATGAAGTTTTAGTTGACTTGTACAAAATTCCTCCAATATTAATAATCCGGTCTGAACGAACTCCCAGTTTCCTGCTGGAAAAGACAGAAGGATGACTGAAAGAATCTTCATAGGAACTGCAACAATCCAGCAATTTTTTTAATATTCTAAAATGGACTATGGTTTACATTTATTAATTCCTGTACAATATCTCCATAAATCCAAAACTTAATATCAACTATATAATACAGATTATCTATTACTAACTTCAGTTAAAAAGCTTGTAAAATATATTTATATCAATCTTGAAATTGAAAAATAAAAAGCTGCTTACCCTTTCTTAAATGCTGGGTACCCAGTCTTAGCCTTAAAGCTGTGAGAAGAGTCCAGCTTTAAGTGATTAATCTTGTACTTTGATACATGGCCCTTCATTCCCTTCTGCTTCTGATACAGACCAATGGCATTATTCACTTTGTACACACTGTTTCCATGCCTAAGGAGTGACTTCTCTCCATAACTTTTGACCTTTTGAGAGGAATCTGACTTAAGGCGATTGATCTTGTACTTGGATATTATCCCCTTGGCAGCTTTCTGTTTCAGTGATAATCTAATACTATTATTAACTACTTTGTAGACATTATTTACATTTCTTGCCTGAGAAAGACCACAAAATTTGGAAGACCAGCACTTGATTGGCTTAGCAGTTGCATTCCTCACCAATGCATTGGATTTAAATACCCCAGAATTTGATCTTCTCCTTACTAATTTTGTCTTTGATATCACAAAAAATTTCTTTCCTTTTTCTGTATTTGTTTTGTTATCAGCAGACTTTGTGGCTTGATTTTCAACCCCCTCAGTCTTATTAGAGGAGCTGCTACTGGATTTTCTTCGTACAAGTTTGGTCTTTGTCTTCAATGTATATTTTGCATTGACAGAACTAGCATCTTTACCCACACTGCTTGAACCAGAAAGCTGTCTCACAAGTTTTGTTCTTGATTTAACAAGGTAGCGCTTTTTCACACCTGAGCTGGTCGAATATTTCCTGGCCTGCGTAGGAAATTTAAGTGAAGGCTGAGATACTGCACTAACACTGCTTTTGGGATGACTCTTCTTTAGTACTCCAATGCGGCCCTTATCTGATGACATGCTGCTTGAACGCCTCCGCACCAGCTTTGTCTTGGAGATAACTTTGAACCTTGATGACTTCTTTGGAGTCTCCTTTGGATTCCTTGTCAAACTTTTTTTGGCACTGACATGCTGTGATGTTGCCTGTTCCAAATTTGGCTGCTGCTCAGGATAAGGTCTGCTTAAATTCACTGTTTGCAGATTTAAAACAGGATTACTGTTACTTGCTATGGATTGAATGAGTTTAGGATTGACCAAGATGTTGGAAGTTTTGGTGGAGGTAGTTCCTAATTGTGACTTTCCACTTTCTATTTGTGGAGGTTGAGTATGCATCCCAGGTACTTGGGTCCGGCTGTTTGTGAAAATCCTATTTACATTGCCATGTCTACTTGATAAAGTTTGGTTTGCATTTTGTTGCAAGTTATTTGTCTGGTTTACTTTATATACATTATGATTCAGCATCTTGTCTGAGCCTGTGACCAGAACTTTATTGGCTGTCCATGAATATGGAGATACTTTTCTTTTCAAATCTGGTTGACTGGGATTCAAATTTGTGTATGTAGTTATCATTTTATTTTGGGCAGAAACATAACTTAGGTTGTGTCCTTGGGTTTCTCTTCTTCCTGCCAATACATGTGAAGGCTTCCCTCCAATGGGTTTGGAAGAACTGGCAGCAACATCTCCAGCTTTGGTAGAAGACAGATTACAGTATGGTGACAAAGAGTTATTGCTCACATATTTATTGTATGTCTGGGCTGCACTGACTGATAGCTTGGTTGCAGGATAGTGAACCCTTGACACAGTGGCTGTGCTGGCATATGTAGATGCCAATTGCCGCTGCTTGTAATGTGTGGAATTGACTCTGGGTATGCTACTGACATTTGATGGGTAATAATTATGCCCAGTATGCAAGGCCTGGTTCTGACTGACTAAAGCGTCTGATGGAGCTGGTCTTGATTTTTGGAAGAATGCTGGGTTTACGTGTACGCTTGTTCCATTCAGGGCTTTGTTTTTGTTTGGGAGGAAGTCTGGATTTACGTGTATCTTCTTTTGTTCATCTGGAGGATCCATTACCATCTGAAAAGGATGAAAATATCAAGAAAATATAATAAAGGAAGTTGAGATGACGTGTTTCTACTGCAAATACAAATCAACATTCATTAAATCTGAAATCAGCCTGAGGCCATCTCTCTAATATCTAGCAAGTAGATATAATTTGTCTGTATGTGCTGCATTCACTAGATTCGGAGATGCAAAACTTTTTGGAGTAATCACACCATCTGTATCTTACCTGGGGCATTTGGCTAAGATAGACAAGGAAGTACCTTTCTTACTCAAATACCATATTTCTGACAACCTGCCAAACACACGAGTGTTTATTGAGAGCAGGACTTCCAGACTATTCATTCCTATTTTGCTCTTATTATTTCTCTCTTTCCAAATCTCCTTGAATTTTTCTCTATATGGATCACACTACTGAATGTTTACACTTAGAAAAAAGTCAAATCACCAGATAGTATTGTCATTCAACTATAAATTCATAACAAAAGAAATGGTCCTACAATTTCGTTAATAAATCTCTATACAGAACCCACATCTGTAAAGTAGAAAGCAGTGACAGCAGAGTGACTTGGAAAATAAAATGTCCCACTCTGGAGAATTCTTTTTTAAAATCCAAATACTATAAACTGCTAAATAACGGAAATAGAACGACCTCAAAATCCAACTTCAACTTCAAAATCACTCGTAATCAAAAGTAGTATTTTCACGAAACATACGGGATACAATATAAAACGCGTAGAATCTTCCTGTTCACAAAATTCACTTCATAGCAGGTCTCCAAGGTTACCTTTGTGATGTTACGTCAGTTTACAGTAGACAGGAAGGTTATTATTGACATATTTTCAAGGAGTTCGTGTAACAGGTGAATGCGCATGCGGATTGCGAGGGCGATGGAACTATGACGTCATCAAGTTAGAAGGAACACTATTTTTATGAGAATGTGTCATTTTCGTTTTGCCCCGTCTTTTCAATTTTGTTTTATTATAATTTATCTACTTGTTTTTTATTAGTAGTTTATGGTAATCTGGTCACAAATGCCAAAGATATTGAATAACATATGTAATAGATTCTATTTCCCCCTGGCTTCTAGGGTATCTGAAATTTAAGTTATGATCAGTTGTATTGTAATGATGATAAACTGTCTATAGGAGTTTTACCTTTAAGACTTCTGACAGAGAGATATACTGTCATTTTTTTACCACGGTGTATTATTATCCACACATTTATACGATTTTCCAGATAAACTTACAGTAATCACCTCCTTTAAAGTTCATTTGTCATTTCAGATCAGCAAATACTTTTTTTATCTGTATGTTCGGAAATCAATTAAGCAGACTAATGCCTCGAAACAATGCAATCATCATGTACATCTCCAAAATTGAATTACCATCTTAGGAATATTCTAGAAGAAATCGAAAGTTGATCATTTTGGGAATAATTTTATACCATCATCTGTATGGTTCGAAACTGATATAACTAGTACAAGACCTTGATTATGTTTAGAGTCAATTATGCAGCAAAGAATAATAATAACTATACCATCTTGGCATCAACAAAATCTAAAATTCCCGCCCAAAATTTAAGAGATCAGCGCCATCTATGAGCAATATCAGATACCAAAAACATAAACAAACGAGGCTCCCTTTCCACGCAAGGCATGTGTCCTCGGCCTCTAATTTCTTCTTTGTAGGTAGGTCTTATTACTGAGATTTTCACATATGTATCTGTTTTTTAGATATTCGTAACATTGATGGAGTCATATACTTTGTGGAGAGAGTGAGTTATTGACTAGAAAAGGTATTTTCCTATTCCTTGAGAGCTCCAAATGCAGGGCCAGTTGCAATCCATGATGTAATTACGAGGACTGGAATATTCAGAATTAATAACGCTGTTGAAAATATTAACGTATATGAAATAAACTGTTGTAGCATACGATTGCTTTCCCAGTATAAAGTTTCAATAAATTAGTTATTGTACTTCAGTAAATCAAAGCGCACGGAAGCAGGTGTACAATAAGGTATGTGATTAGTATCATTTATTTGGTGAATACTGATTAACAAACAAGCTGAATAAACACCAAAGTATGCACGTGTTTTATATTGTCCCCAATATAAAGAACCTTGGCATCATTTTTTTTTTTTTTTTTTTTTTTTTTGTATAGCCCACTCTTAGTAGCTTTAGCTTGGGATGGCATGAAATATACCTGAAAAATTGTGGGGAAAAAAAATTGATATGCAGAAATAACATTTAACCCTAATCTTAGTTTGAGATTTTTATTTTATTAAGAGAAAGTTGCCGGTTGCATTGATCATAGATATCAATTGTTACATTAATTGCTTTAGTATTTCTCTCTCATGTTTAACTTTTCCATCTTCTTTTCACAGGTGATTGGCCAGAAAAAAATAGCAAAATGAAGTGTTATTATGATGTATTGGGTGTTAGTCAAAGAGCTACAGATGATGAGCTCAAAAAAGCATACAGAAAAATGGCTCTGCAGTGGCATCCAGGTATGGAGACTCTTTTTTCTGACATTTTTTATATGTCTGTGTCTGTCTTTCAGTCTTTGTGTTTTTGTTGGTTTTCTGTCAGTGTTTGTGTGTCAGTTAAAATGAGCATTATTGTAGACATTATTTTTTATTGATTCTTATACCTTTTACTTTTAGATAAAAATCCTGATCGGCTTGATGAGGCCAAGGCACAGTTTCAGATAATTCAGGCTGCATACGACACACTGAGTGATCCACAAGAAAGAGCATTTTATGACCGTAATCGTGAAAATATCCTTAGAGGCAAAGGTTAGAATTCAGTATTTCATAGTATTTTGATTTTAATGACAATATATTTTGATAAATAGATAGTTTTCTGTTATTATTTTTGCATGATATGGAGTATGTGGTATAAATTCCTTTACTTTAATATTTCCTATAAACTAATGTTTAATTTTTTTACAGATGAAGATTTGGAAGCAAAACCAGATAACATTGATCTATTTGCCTATTTTTCTTCACAATGTTATTCTGGTTTTGATGATACAGAGAAAGGCTTCTATACAGTATATAGGTAAAAATAGAGCTGTTTGCTTGACTACTAAAATTCTAAAATTAAATCATTATGAAGTTCATTGTATGAAATTTATTTAGCTTTGTGTTTCATGTAGAGGTGTACTATTCCTCCTTTAAAAATCTTAAACTATGAAAATTGTTTGTATTAAGAATTATATAAAATTTTCAGACAATTGTTTGAGAAGATTGCAGCAAAGGATATGCAATACATGGATGATGACGAGGAAGATATTGCCATTCCAAATTTTGGGAAAAGTGACTCTGATCTAGAAGTAAGTAAGATTGGTGGAAGAAGTAGAAGCTCCTTCATTATGAACTCGTACCAGTACTGTAATGATATAGATTAACCTCATTTGTTCTCCATACAGTAGGATTCCAATTGCACTGATACTGGAAGCAAAGAATCATGCAAACAATGCAGACTGTGTGGAAACAGATCATGTACTTTAGAGTTTTGTGCATCATAGGAATTTTTATTTCATAATTTTTCATTTATCTTTCTTTTTCTTTTCCATTTTCTAGGATGTTGCACAGTTTTATGGCTATTGGTCAAGTTACTGCACTTCAATGTCTTTTGCTTGGGTTGATGAATACGACATCAGGGAAGCCCAAGGAATGGGGCGCTGGGTGGAAAAGGTATTGTATAATTTTATGTGGTTATTTCATTGAGAAAAGTTTGTCAGAATTATATATTATTAAGAATTGAAAAAATAAGATATTTAACATTGATGTTTACATAGTTTGATTTTTATATTTCATAGTTGTGTTTTATTTCCTTATAGAAAATTGAGAAAGAAAATAACAAAGTTCGACTGAAGGCTCGCAAAGAGTTCAATGAAAGCGTAAGGTCATTAGTTGCCTATGTTCGAAGGCGTGACAAACGTTGGGAAGCTCGCAAGGTAAGCTATTGTTTTACTTTCGTTCAATAATTTCTATATTGTTACTATAAAACTAGCAGCTGCAAATTGTGATTTATGATTTTAAAAAGTATATTTCCTAGTTCTCAAGTGAACCTTGATAGATCCCTTGATAGAATCTATTGATATTGAGTA